TTAGAAGTTGAAATCCACATATCTTAAAATTACTAAGGTTGGGAAACACAGGACCCAGTCAAAGTCTCTTACTAGTAATTTTGGCAGCACATTTACCATAACTGGGTCAAACATCACAATTTCTGAAATTACCAGATCACCATCCACTTTTTCTAGGAAGTATCTGCATCCCACAAACTTCTGCATTACAAAGGTCTGCGAAGATTTCATGGCATTATCAGCCCCTTTCCCACCTGATCATGCAGAAAGTGTCAGGGTAGAGGCGGGGAGAAAACTAACAATTTACAGGGTAAAGATGGTAATTATTTAAAAATATCATGACCACCCAAGATTATTAAGTGATCCGTTCAATCTTTGTGAATTTGGGAAGAGTAGGAGGAAACCCAGTGCTTAATCACTTGAAGCATAACATCTTTGCACAGTAATGAGCCATTAGCTTAGAAATGTTATTCCTATGTAAAAGAAAGATTGTTTAGTTGTGTGGGAGTTGGTGATGAAATAATTGAAAACAGATCCTTCAAAATATATAATGCTTCAGAAAAATGGACTACACATTTCCTAAAATTCTGAAAGGAAAATAAAGGCATTCATATTATTTGCACATTTTAAAACTTTCATTTGAAAAAGTACATAGCTACACTTTGATCTTTTAACTTCCATTTTCACTGGAACTTATATGAAATGAAACATTTTAACTCAATTGAAACATTTACCAAATGGAAAAGTTGTTGGATAATTTAAAGCTGATATGCACTAGAAATGTAGATCAAGTTATTTCATAATTTGCAACAATAAAATTTCACAACCTTTTTGACTCCAAGGGCTAAGTTAATGCCTAGAAACCTAAATGTACTTACTCAGAAGTAAATTTTGTTGAATGCAGGGGGACTGACAGAACAAAGCTACCCAGAATTTTACTGCATTAGCAATTCAAATGATCAGACTTGCAATCCACATCTGGAGGGCCCTAGGTTGCCTTATTCAGAGCCAAGGCAGCTGTATCAACAAATGCACAGGTTCTCTGGCCTTCTCCTTTGCAGGGACACATATTTTCTCTTCTTGTCTTTCAGCACACCTTAACATTTTTCCCCTTTTCATGTTAGCTTTTATGTCATTTGTGGTCCTGCAGCTACTTTAATACTGAAGATATTTCAGCCTTTGATAAAAATATATTATATAGTGCTATTGTGTAATGTTTTCTGTACTATTACAGAACAGTTTTAGTTGTTACATCATTTTATGTGATACAGTATATTCAATTCAGAGAAGCAATCAATATTTGTATGTACGTGTGTGTGTATTACTCATGTGACTCCACTGCCAAACCTTACAGACACACCAATGCATCAGCAATTTATGACAATATATCTGCACTCACCTGACAATTAAGTCCTGCCCATGTTATTGATATTGGACAGGGGTTATAACCGAGATGGCATACTATGATAATCTTTGATAATCTCTCACTCAGAAGTTTATTCATGTTTGCTCAGTAGCAACTTTACTTCAAGGAGTTTATTCCAATCATGCATGTATATGGATGGTGACATGAGTTTTCTTTACATAGCAATCCAGAGTTTACTAGTGTAGAGGGGTCTGGACCAACTCCTTTAATATGCTACATTAATGACAGAGTGCACATTAGAAATCTGCATCAACGTAGCCATTTCAAATGGGCAAAGAACCTGCATATCCATGAGAAGGATCTACAGACTTATAGCTACTAAATTTGGGCTGTAGAATTCAGACAACTGCATGACAGCAAAGAGAGTTTTTTCCTATTCTCTTTGCTTCCACCTTGTTATTATTTGGAGTAAAGATTATTGCAAATTCCTTCAAAGTCTATTCTGTTACTCTGAATTTCAGAACAATAGATACCAGTTGCTTAAGGGGAGCAAAAGTAAACTAAAGTTCTTCATCTCTTCTTCATTCAAACTTATTCTTTGGAGGATATTATTTTTTCTAGTACTCTCCACCAAGTTCTTTGACAAATAATTTGCAAGAGCTCAAAAGTGGCAAAATAAAAGAAGCTGATTTGAAATTATCAGAATGGGTGGTAGATAAAATTCGTGACAAGAAAAGTAGGTGCATTTATAATAGCTTTTATTTCCTATGGGAAGGTCTGTTCCTGCTCTTGAACATCATTAAAAACTCACTTGTGCTGGGGGAAAAAAAATCAAAATATATCTGCAGTAAGCACTCAGCCAATGTAACACAAGGATAACATCTGTGCCAGAATCAGCCTGCCTAGAAACTCCTAAGTATATTAAAAATTTAGTGCAGCAAATAAGAAATCTGAGAACCCTGTATATAAATCTAATAGGGTTTAGAAGAAAAATGGGATTAAAATGCTCAGTTAGACATTTTTAAACTTCTGCTGGTTCTATTTACATTGATAAACCATAGCATAAATAATATTAAACAGGTACATTCTCAAGGTCACTGAACATTTGAGATTGGCTGTTAGCAGTTTTGTGCTATCTTGTTATATTCACAATAAAGTAGAAAAGGGGAGTTTCTTTCCTGCACAGCAGTCCTTTTTAAGAACATCAAAAAAGATACTGTGCACTCAGTCAAATCACAGGTCTGTCAAATTCAGTATTTCAGTAGATGCTGATGTTTCCCATCTGTGGTTTGTGATAGCTGAACCCAGGTATATGCATATATATATACACGTACAACTATTAGCTACAGACCCAAATGCATTTCAGTGCATTCAGTGCAATAACAGCGGCAGTCAACAATTTACTTAGGAAACAATTACTTATGGTTTATATGCAAGAGCGTGTTTGCTGGTGATGTATGTAAAAAATCAGATCAGATCTGCAAAGAACCTAGAAGACCACCAGATGGCTGGCTGATAGCCCATATCTATGGAATATAACCTTTGGATAGTTATTTACAAGTATTAAAATAAATTATAAATGGGATATATAACCCATAACCCTCATACCAAATCTTGCCAATGCAATTCTGTTCAGCGCAAGCTTACAAACTACATATAAAGTCCTTATTACTAGCTGACCTAATTAGGTGTTTCAAAGCAAGAGTAAAATCAAAATAGCACATCTGCTTTTCCATGGTGCAACTTTATAATGAATGCAAAATAGATGTCAGCTACATTCTAAGCCTGCACAATGCTTCAAATACACTGTAATATGCTACCAAAGTGTCAAGGCCATCTTTCATAAAACCAAGATGCATTATATACAAAGTCTGTAACTGTACACGTAATATAAATGTGTGATGGCAGTAATGGAAGATGCAGTAAGATCACAATATTTTTGTCATTTTATTTTTAAAAGAATAATTAAAAGTCTTGCTTTCTTCTGAAGTACATTGACTACTCTCTGCCGGTTCCTATGTGGCCCATTATAAGGGATTGTATGCATATTATTATTGCAAGATTCACATGTGCAACCAATTGTGTTAAATAAACCATGAAATCCCTAGTGAAGCAAAGTGTACAAGTATCGTGAAAAAAGGCTTGTTCACCACATTTTTTACAAAGGGCAACTTCAGGATATCATATGGCTATATACAGTATATATTATCAGTTCAATATCCCTGTAGTAATGTTTCTCAACTTTGGCAATCTCAAATGCTATGGTCTTCAATTCCCAGAATTCTCCAGCTTCCATGCTGGTTGGGGAATTCTGGGAGTTGAAGTCGTCGACTTATCTTGGTGCCAAGGTTGAGAAACATTGCCTTAAAAACTTGATCTCTGTTCCTTGTGAAGCAAGAATTTGCTGAAAATTGCTGTCTTCATATGTGATGTTGCCCCTAAAACTAGTTTCAAAGGGATTTAGGCCAATTATTAAGGAAAGAAAATAACTGATTCTAATCTACATGGCTATGTGCCACACCGTCTGAATCACAGGCAAAATAAAATATTAGTAGTGAATGTCAGTCAGAGTACTGTCATTTCCTTGCTAATTCTTATAAGTCTCTAAGTGCATGGGACTGACCATCAGGAGAGACAGCACATAGGACAGAAGTCCCATTCTCATGTTTTTACAGTAAAACCCCTCCATATTCTGGGATTCTAGAATATGTCTAGAATTTACTGCAATACAATCAAATGCACAAGAAGGTACCACATGTGAGTCTGTAAAATAAAAGTCCCCAAGAGAAGATTTGAAAAAAAAATGCAGTTCACAGATCTGTACATCTCCAAAAAATCCAGAAGCACCTGCATTAACTTAATAGTGAATTAATTTACTGTAAACTAATTACCATCAGTTGACAATGCATGTGACTATAGAAAGCAGAAGTTCTATTATGCAATGTAATGATTGAAACAATCCTTGAGTTATAGCTTACAAGTAGCTTCAGGCAAATTATTATATTCTTAATATAAAATAGAAACCAAGAAAAACAAGCTTCTTGAAAAATCTGTAGCATATAGTACCACCACTACATATGTATAGTTGCATGCACGTTGTTTGAAACTAATTTCACATGGAGGAAATGGAATTAACACGAGTCAAGAACCTTCCTATGCAATGGAGCAATAATTAGCATTGCTGTTACTCAGGAAATGTGACTTCATGAATCCTGTGAAGGTAATCCTATCAGCGCCAGCCGGCATAGCCAAGGACCAACAGATGCCCTCGATGCTGAAACCTCTGAAACATCAAAGGTTGCTCACCTCATGTAAAAATCAGAATATGTTTGGTAGGAAATCCAGTTACTACTGTATCTCCTTATGGTCTGGTCTGCTGCAGATTTTCTAATGTCTTGTAAAAAGGCATCAAGGAAACCAACCGGTGTTCCTTTTGAGAAGGTGGAATGTGAACCTGTGCCTTTCTGAATGTCATGGGGACATCAATCTTTTAGGACAGTTTCTAGAGATGCTTCTCCGAGAAGGTGTCTTAGAGCTTCCTGTAGGTGTGAGTCGTGCCTTCATGTTTTTCCCTTGTCAGTATTACCATGGCAACAAAGCAGATACTAAGGTTTGCAACCCCCTTCTCCCACCCCAACTAAGCTTTGCTTAGTTCAGGAAAACATAAATTGGGAAGAATTTTGGCTTCATTCCCAAATATTTCTATTAAAAAGCTTTCCTCTTCACTCCTCTCCCAGTCATACATTTCCTGCTGACATTCAAAGGCAGAGTTATTTTTCATAATATTCTATACATTTTTTTTCCAGCAAAAGCCTGCCAACATTGTTGCTAAAACTTACTGGGTTCTGTTTTGTTTTTCCTTTAATAATATGTTCCGAAGCAGTAGTTAGAACAAAACATTGAGGGCTGACAAATTCAAAATGGCAATCTTATCCCAAAACTTTATAACAAAAGAAGGCTGCTGTCCAACAATTGCTGTTCCCTGTTTATAACACGATATTGCTAAATTTTGGGGGTCTGTAAAAAGCAAGCCAAATTTCAGTTCTATTGAAAGGCCAATGGTGGAAGGATAACTGCTAAATCGCACATTAATTTGAGACCTAGCCAACAATGCAAAATCTACCTGTTAATAAAGAAATCAGCTTTCCTTCGTCATAAAGCACCAGTAACTGTTCCATTCTTACGCACATTTAATGAGATACAAGTTCCACTCATAGCAACGAGGCTTAGTCCAAGGTGTGTGCCCCCCCCCCCCCCCCCCCGGCCAACAAGTTTTTTAAAATGTCATTTTGGCTGGAGCTGGATCTCTTTTTATGTCAATTTAAATGCACTGGTTATAAGAATGAAAAGTCTTCCTTCATCAGCCTTAAAGCAGCAACCTTTTAGTAGGGGGATTGCTTATAAATAGCCTTGCAGGGATGGGATCTAATGACAAATTCCCCATTCTTTGGCTCCAGGGGATGGTAAGCTTTTCCAGAACAGATCAGAAGGCTTGTACTGGGAAGGTGTGGGGGGGGGGGTGCAGGGGCAGAAAAATTCCCTTGTACATGTAGAAATCCATTTCCATGTCTTGACTTCCTGCATATAAAGTATGTTTCTACTTTCATGGTGTGTTGCAAATGTCATCTACATATATGTTTAATTCATTCTGCAACACGGAAAAGGACCTTAGTTTAATTATAGAACATTTTTGATCCCAAGTTCAATTACCAGAATTTCCATAAAAGGTGGGGGGGATAGTTCTATGTGAAACCTCATCCTGCAGACAAAAAGCAGTGATAAATTAGGTGGACTGGACTAGATGGATCATGGATTTGAATGGCATTTTTCTCTTTTCCTAAATACAGTACTTGAATATTTATTTTATGAAGCTTGCCTCGCTTTAGGTAGGAACAATCAATTCATCTAGGTAACTCTCTATGGCCATCCCAGAATCTATTCAGCAGATCAGCATTATTTCAAGTAGTTTAAATGATTTTAATCAAAATATGTGTATTGTAAAACTAAACAAATATGGTGAATTATATTACAAAACTTAAAACTGGGATTTCTTTTACATCATCCCCAGAAATTATTTTTTCCAAACAATCAGTATTGTGGATTCCACGGTCCAATTTAGTTTCTCAAATTCATGTCTTTAGTATGAATACACACAGCCTGATGTTTCTGTTTGTTTTGCGCAGGAAATACCGGTTGTGACCTACTTTTCTTTTTGACTGTTTTTTTATCCTCTCAATCATTGCCCTAGAGATTTTGTCTAAAGGTCAAGTTCTATAACCATCTTCTCATCAGATTTCCTCAACTTTCACCCCCCTCTCCCCCAAATGTCTTGAGCTACAAAAGCAAGATTTCCAGACCACACAGGAATATGAGAATCTGCTCTCCAACACAATCTTGAAGAGAACCAGACTGTGCAAGGCTGCTCTAAAGTTATTATTATTTTTTTGCTTTAATTACTGAAAAGAGAAGAACTTACTGGAGCAAATGCAATAATAATCCCAAAGAACAACCTTAATGGGAGGGATAAACCTCAACTTTTCTGCTACTTTTTCCTCAAAGAGTGCTAGTGAGAAATAACCTTTTGCAACTCCTGGACAAGCAACACATGCTGCTCAGCTGACAAGAGGTCTTTGATTTACAGCTTTCAGGGGAATAATCAAAGCATGGATTTTTTTTCTCTCTCTCTGCAGTTCCACAGAATCGCCACCAAGATTAAATCAGCCAAACAAGTGAAGTAGAAAAATCGACGGAAGAATTACAGAATTATTAAGGGCATGCCTATAACATGGGGGTGGGTGGGAGAAGGGGTATTGGATGGGAAAGGCTGCCAAGTTGGAATTTGATCGGATGAAGTGAACAAAGCCTCAGAATTACTTGTATATTTGTATATTTCGAGGGGGGGATTTCGAAAAAAGCTTCTTTTCGCCTGAGAGAAAGCCTCGAGCCAAAGCTATGAAAACAAGAGACCAATTCCAGCTCTGCCCCTTTTGCAATGGGTGCCTGACGTTATATGGGGGGGCAAAGAAATAAGGGCATCCCGAGCAAGTAAATGTCTCCAGTATAAGCGGCCTCTCTTTCTTCCTATTCAGCATAATATCCTTTTTTTTTTTTTCCAACCTGGAGCCATCCCTCCCTCAATTCGAAAAAACTCAGGAATTAAAAAAAACGCTCCAAAAACCTTCGCACAATATATTTTGCCCGGGTTTGATGGGGAAATAATGGAAGCGACCCACCCTTCGAAAGGGGCTGCGGCGCGTTAGCTCGAGACCTTCCCCCCATAAACCCCCCCATCCACCCCGGGCGGGCACGGCAGGTTGTGGGGGGCCATCCCACAGCCCCGTCCCAACTAGAAAGTACCGAAGGTCGAGCCGCCGGCCGACCCTACTAGAGAGCAAGCGGGAGAAACAATGGGGGGGAGGGGGGAGCCGCCTGGGAGAAGAACCAGGCCCGGCTCTAACGTTGTCACCTCCTCCTTCTCTGTGGAGACCCTCGCCGGCCGCCCTTAAATAGAAAGGCACCCCAAGCCAGGGTCATTGGGGGGTGGGGGAGGGTCTCTGGCCCTCCCCCGCTATTTCCTCAAGCGGACTATCTATCGCAGCGCCCCGGGGTCGGCTCTGAGCAGGATCCCGCGCCCATCCCCTCTATCCTGCGACTGCGGAAAAGCCCCCCCCGCCTCCCGCTCAGCCTTCTCCGAGGCTTTTCCACACACATCCCCCGCTCAGGGGACGGAGCTCAAGCTAAGCCGGTCAAGCGGCGTCTTCTCCCTCAGCCCCTTCTGGGCCCCGCGCGCGCCTTTCCTCGCGCTCTATCTCTCCCCCAGGACCCTCTCCCCCCCCCCCCCCCCCGCACGCTTGGGAGCCAAGACTCCGGACGCCGCCTCCCGTCTCTTCTTCCAAAGCCTCGGCCGACCGGGGGGGAAAAATAAATAAAAAAATAAATAAAGGACGCGGGGCTCGCCTTCCCGCGCAAGCTTCTTCTTCTTCGCTTACCGCTGCCGTGGGTTCCTCACGACCGTTGGAACCGGGCTCCCCTCTCGTTCCCTCCGTCGCCATTTTCCCCGCTGGCAAAGAGGGAGCCCCCCGAGTTACGGGCAAGAGGGAAAACGGCGCCGAAGCGAGCGAGCGAACGGCGGGGCCCCCTCAGCAGCAGCAACGGCGCCCTCCGCCGCCGCCGCCGCCGCCGCCGCTGCTTTAACTCCTTCGGCCCCAGCGGCGGAGCGCCTCCCTCCGGCCCCCGAGATACCGAGCTGCAAGCCCGGGAGGTGGAGCCGTTGAGGTGTTGTTATTATTTTCCCGTCCCTGGTGGTTTGCTTTTTTTTTTTTTTTTTTTTCCCTCACTACTGCTTTCATTTGCAAAATGCCCTCTTGGATGTCCGATAATTATTATCCCCGTGTCGGATGTTTTTTGACATGCCGCTTTGAGCAAGAGGGAATGAAAAAAAAGCAGCTGCAAAACGGGGCTGGCGTGGTGAAGTCGTGCAACCACAAAGCTGACATCATAACGCTTTGCCAGTCGGCGTCCTGGTGCATCCCATTCAGAAGCGCTGGGTGCCAACGGTTGCTCTCCTGAGGATGCGTGTATACAGCCCACCATAAACCAAGGGACTTGTTTCTCTCACCCCTCTTTGCTTCCCTTTCGTTAGCCGGTGAACTACCATTAGACCCGCCAGCCACCCCAGTAGAAACCATTTGGGTAAATGGTGCCTGAGCTCTAGGTTCCTTCTTGAGCAATGTTTCCCTTCCTACACCCCCCATTTCGTTGTAGTTCAGACTTAAAAACATTTTAAAATTAAGGTCATGGAAATCAGAAACATCACTTTCCCTTCTCCCTTCCCTTCTCTTCCCTTCCCTTTTTACAGACAACAAATGTAGGCATTCAGAGCCTTCCATTTTCTGTTTGAAACATAATAGTCCCACGATTATACTCTTTCAGCCTCACGCTAAACAAGGATGGATCATAGTGTTAAACCTTAGTAAATCATCTGGTTAAGCCATTGAGAGCTCTGGTGTTTCCGTTGTAGACCACTCCTTAAATTTATCAGTTGCTGGTTGTCCGAAGGGGCTTTTCCAAAAAAAAAACCGGATGAGTGTTTATAGCATGGAACTCTTTACATGGAGCTAGTGTGGAAATGCTTGAGGAATAGAAAGAAAACATTTGTGCTAGAAAAAGTATAGCTCTCTTCCCTGTACAAATCAGCACCCAGTGTCACTGTCCAACTCTTCAGAATGATGACCTGGGACTAAAGGGGCCATGTTTACAGAACTCTGAAACATCCAGAAAAGTGTCTCTGATCCCATGCAAGATTGAACGTTCGACTTTGCCTCCAACAGAAGACACTGTATATACTTTGTAAATCTTCTTAGATACTGGATAGATGTGGAAAGGGCAGGGGAAGACACTATTTTATTGAAGCCTGTCTTGGGTTGAGGATAAGTTGCAGGCCAAGTCATGAAGATGTGACAGACAGAAGATGTTCATAGGACGTATTTGTACCATGT